GAGGGCACAATGCAAACAGTGTTACAAAAGTTGACTTGTGTAAGATAAATGAGCGACTGATTTCTCTATAAAAGACAGTTGCTAGGGCATGCTTCCTTCCAGAGCCTTTTGTTGCTGAATTATAACCTTCCAGCGCTTCCTTTCAGATTGCAAATACGTGCCGTTTTTTCTTTAGTCAAATCCTATAAAATACTTTTCCCCCTATTTATCATGTTCCAAAATGTTGGGCAGTTAGAAAGAATGGCTGCGTCGAGGGAAAAATGCTTTCAGTCACCTGTTATGAATTGTTTTATGTTGCAAGAAGTCACCCACTATATAGAGTCCAACACAAATGCACACCAAAAGAAAATCAATATCCCAAAGACCTGATAGCCTAAACAGGCTAAATAGCTGGGAGGGGCAACTGCTTTTAATAGAGTTTCTTTCTTGGAACTGCTAAAATTGTATTTTCTCTCTTCTTTTCTTTTTTCACTTTCATGGAAATGGGCATGATATCAGCCTAAAGGAAAATCATGGTATTCATGCTGAGTCTCTAACGATAGCTTTGAAACTCTGTTGTGCTCAAGCCCCTATGCCAATTTTAAAACCAATGCCTAGTGGCTGCTGTCAGCATGTGGGGAGGTATTCTTTCCCAAAGCACCAGACAACCAAATTTATGCATGAGAAAATTCTCATGTCCTATCTTGTTCTTGTGAAAGAATACAAAGCTTGTTGTCCAGGGTGAGGGGGCCGTCTGGTGTTTTCTTTAAAATTCCTTGTACAATAGGCTTCTGTCAGTGGTGCTGGAGAAGACCTTCAGCACCTTTTGATGCCAGTAGCACGATAAAAATTTATAACAGCTACTGGGTTGTCCACATGGGAAGGGGGAGGAATAGTCACCCTGCCCGACTATACAGAAGTGCTTCAGCATGGTAGCTCAGTCCACCCGAGACCCCAGCCATAGTGTATCCCCTGCACTCCTCTATAACAATGGAAAGAGCCCAGGGAGATCAGCTAGCTAACCTGTGTACATCAGCTGCATGCCTCAAATTGTGAGGTATATCTAGGGTTTGGTGCCTAATTGTCAGGCTGCTGCCAGAAATCAAGTTCAGATACATTCACTGATCAAGTTCCAGAACTGGTTTGTCTGTTCAGCCTGGAAAATAAAGCCCAGTTCCCAGAAAAGTCCTTGACTTCCACTGACAGAGCACCTTGGACTACTAAAGAAGAGTATAAGTGTAACTGCAGCAGTACGGTTTCGGTACAGCAGCAGCACCACACCAAACCGAAACCACTCTGGGCACGTCTTGAGTCCTTTGAAGCTTCTTCATGCCTAGGTTCTAGTTTCCCACTTTCTTTCTTCAGAGGAAAGATAGCTGCGCTATCACATTATTAAAACTGTCATTGAGGGAAAAAGAGAACGAGAGGATGAACAAAACCAGACCATTTGATTTGTTCTCACTCTGTTCAATTCAGGCGAAAGATGTGCAGACAGGGCTGCACTAGTGGGAGTGAGGGACAGGAAAGGAAGCAGGGAGTGAGAAACATTAGATAGTTGATAATGTTGGATTATCAATGAGATAGTCATCAGTTGATAGTGGGGTCTGATATCATAGGGGTAAAAGCAGGAAGTCCCAGCAAGGACACAGCCCTCTAATACTGATGACTCAGGCCAACCATGAAAACCAGCTAGCTTTTGCAAGACTGTGCAGCCAGTGAGGGGCAAGGAGTCTCTGAGATGGATGAACTCCTGCCCTCACCTTGAGACAGAACTGCACAGCCCAGATGAGATATCTCTGGGTTTGCTTTCCCCACTTTGGAGTCCTAAATTGCAAGATCCTACTTACCTCCAGGCCAATCCTCTCTTTCATGACCCTTGCCATAGTTGCAAGTGGGCCACGGGAATGCTTTAGCTGGTAAGAGGCCAAGCACGCACTGCAGTAGCTCCATGTGCAGAAGTACTGGCAAGGGGTGAGAAGTTCCTCTACTACAAATCAGCCAAAAAGCCCCAGTCTTCTCATGGCCACTGAAACTCAGGAGGAATCTCCTGTGTATGTGAATCCATTTCTCTACTCGCATTGGTGGTTCACTGTGTAGTGCAGTGCACAAATGGATCCAACTGCTTTACACGGTACTGTGTGAGGTGCGTTTGTCCACGCACTTTTTTTGCTGGGCATGCATTGGACTGTCGCTGGTGAGATTTGTCTAGTGACCCTTTGAACTAATTTGGGAGGAGCAAGGAGGAGAAGGAAGTGCATCAGTATCACCCTGACAGCTGTTTGTTGCACACAAGTGTATAACGAGGGGCGGTCAGGACCATGCTACCCACGAGGAGCAGTCCTTGCCATTGCTGGAAGGCAGCCAGGTCTCCTCTGTAGACTTCCCCTGCAGCTCATGGAGACATACCCTCCCCTAGAGCAGGAGTCCCACCTGTATATTCAGAATTCACCTAACGGCTGAGATGGCATTTCTGATACTCAAACAAACCCAGAGCTTTCCTACATAAATTCCTTTCTCCTTTGGGAGAATGGGTGGGCAGGGGAATTGCCAGCAAGCTTTACTCTGTGGTATCCACACAGTGACCACTACAGAGAGGGGCATCACAGAGAGTTTTGCAGCTGGGCGGTGGTGAGGGCACAGAACCATACCTCTTCGCTTATCAGGCCCTGGCTATTGCTCTTTGCTGTTGGGGTTAATGTGAAATGTTTTTTTCTCACAGTGAGTGTTTGGCCCCTGTAAAGCCCACCTTTGCTTTGACTCGGTTCAGAGGGATCATAAAGGAGGTTATCCCTCGCAGTGAACGGAGCTAGAGCGGCTTCTGCTGGGGTGGAAGGAGCCCCTCTTTATCCACATCTTTATCCACCCTATTCACATCCCACCCTCACACCTTGAGGATGTCTCAGGTCAATATTATCTCATGGCCAAGCTGGACTTCTAGCCTCCCTTCAGCCACCGAGAATATTTACCTTCAAAACTGTCAACTTTTCAGCACATCATGGCTCAGCCCTCGAGAAAAAAATGCTTCCAATGGGAGGAATCCGGTGGCAGCGAGCTGGGCCAATGTCCCAGGTGAAATGTACAAAAATGCTTGCTCTTTGAAATCCTACTCTCTTTTCAGAAGCTTCCCTGACTTCTCTCAGCTAAGCATCCACAGACCCCTCAATCTTTCATGCCTTTTCTGTTCATTCATGCATGTGTCTTGCTACACAAGATATTGCTATACCCCCCCGCATTGCATGTGTCTTGCTACACAATAATCCTCTCTTCCCATCTTGAAGCAACACACTGGCAAACCCCAGCCTGGTAGGCACGAGTGGCATGCCACCACAGTCCCCAAACTGCAGCAGCCTCGTGCCAGGCAGGAGTCTGACATGGACTGGGCTCAGCCCCAGCTGCCCCAGTGTTATAATGGAAAAAGCGGTACTGGGAGAGGAAACATCTTACCACTCCCCGACCCGCCCAGCAAACCACGGGGCTACATCAGCCCTACACAGGCACATCCCTTATGGGACATGTGAAATAAGCTGTAAGGCACAGTAAAATGAGTCAGCCTCGCTGCAGAAACGTCACCCTTGGGACTCCTGCCACATACACATTTATCACCAGAGTTGAATTTCCAGTCCCCTTGGGGCTGGCACAGGCGCTTGTTGCTATTTCTTGCTTTGGTTTCCAGTGCAGTTTTGGCACTTGATTCCTTCCCATAGCACCGCCTGTTACCTGCGCACTACGGTGTCCACAGGCTACGGCTGTACCGGAAGCAGATTTGGCTGCAGGCTCTGTTATAACTCTCCGCAGTGCTCTGGGGCACGCTCCTGTGCAATTGCATCCCACCAAAATAATCCTGAGCAAACAGCTCCTTTCAAAGACTTTCACTCAGGGAACATCTGTGGAAAGCAGAACTGTGCTACTTGAAGCAGCCTTATCAATCATACCACTGCACGCTTTCAAATTGGTATATTTTCAAAATCTCGCAAGACTAGCTCTATTAGAAGGGAAACATGCTGTCTGCTTCTTGTCTGAGACCATAATTTAAGCAAAATGAGAGTTTCCTGAAGAGCTGGACAGATGCCAGGCCTCCTTACCTCGAGTAACTGCCTTACATTTTTTTTATGATCTTTCCCTTTCTAACA